AGCCCAAAACCACATTGGCCTTTTGTGTGGCTGCATCATGCTGCAGATCCATTGAATCTACCAAGACTCCCAAAACCTTTTCCATAGAGCTGCCATCCAGCCAGGTGTCTCTCATTTTGTATTTGTGTTTTTGATTATTCCTCCTGAGGTGTAGCACCTTGCATTTGTCTGCGTTGAACACCATCCTGTTGGCTGTAGCCCAACTTTCCAATTGGTCAAGATCCTTCTGAATTACGCTCACACCCTCCAATGTGTTCACAATCCCAGTTTTGGGTGTGGGGTATTGGCCTTCTCTGGGATTCCCTACTTATGCACAGAAAGTAGTTATTTTTATAAAAAAGGTGGGGAAATTGAGGAATAGTGAACTTCCTTTATAGAGATTCACGTAACACTGTTTGTTATCTTGCAGCCAGACTTGGCTGCAAATGAAACACTTCTCCTGCAGAAGATCCAGCTGTTGTGCCTCATGGAGGTGAGTTGATAGCCAGGATCCTGAAAGGTCTACCCAGTGTGTACTAAATAAAGCAGCGTGGAAGGCACTACTCAACTTCAGTCTGGTGTCAAATACACTTTTTGTGAGAGGGAATTGTGTGTACAGTGTTTTCATTACCCTGCTATTTTATATGGTAGGTCATAGGTTGGAGTTATATTGCTGGTAATTGTGGCAATGCAGGGTTTTACCTCATGGGGGTGTTGAAGGACAGGTACTGCTAGTGAGCAGAAAAAAAATGCAAATGGATACTAGTAGGAGATGATAAGGGCCTCAAATAGTTGTCCTTTCAGGACTCATCTGAAGTGCAGGCCCTTAAAGCAAGTCCTAATACAGTATTAAATGGCCTGAGAGCAGCTTGATTTTAGTCTCAAATGAATAAAGAATGAAAATCCTGCCCTGTGCAAGAAAGTCCTGTGGTGTTTATCTCTGAATTCTTTTCCCTGTGCACAAGATCGAGTTTCATTATTGCCCATATGCAGAGTCCTGTGATATGTGTGATACCCACACTCTGATTTTTTCTTTAAAAGATTAAATTTTGATAGAAAGAGGGCACGTCTACACTTGTATTAATGCACCTTTTCTAATGCACATTAAATTTGGTACCTTCAATGTGAGGTATTAAATCAATGTGCATTAGGCTGTGCTAATGCGCAGTAGCACATTTGTACACTTTTTTAGTGACGTTTAATGAACAGTCAGCTCTTACTGCCAGTTAACGTAATGTCACGTACAAAACCGTGACGCTTTAATGCTCAGTAAAATAGTCTACTGTGCATTAAAGCACACATGTAGCTGCACCCAGAGTTCATTTAAAACATTCTATCAAACTTTGATCTGGTCATGTGGCCCTTACGCAGTTGTAGTTGTTGTAATAATCTGATATGCATGGAGAATTCCCGTGCTTGGGAAGCTGGATGGCTTGAAAGCTAGGCATGGGAAACTGATTACTAGTCTGTTGTTTCCTACTGTGAATGGGCATGTTTCATAAACCAGTCATCTAAAAGCAGAATAATTCTCAAATGCTACTACCCATGAAAGTCAGAAAGTGAAAACGGGTGGAGGTAACGTCTCTGAAGCATAGTGCCAGGAAGACTCGTGCACTTTGGGAGGGACTCTTAAGAACTCTATGCATTTTATTTATTTTATCTTTAGATGACTTTTACACGACCAGCCAATCATAGACAGCTCACTTTTGAAGAGATAGCTAAAAGTGCCAAAGTTACTGTGAATGAGGTGAGTTTTGTTAATGTCTTTTAATGAAACCAATGATGAAGCATAACTGAGTCTACAATTCTGGTAGCATCAGTTGTACAGACACTCGTATAACAAAATGTTGAAAAGATTACATAATTGCCATACAGTATGTTAGCTGATCATCATCTATGTAGCATCCCAGGGTTGTAGAGGAAGAATAAATGCTGACTCCTCTTTGTGACTCCAATTCAGGTGCACCTTGCATTCCTTAGTAAAAATGGGTATAGTTTTCATTACTGTGGAGCAGAACTTTCTAAATTTGGTTGCTCTGTATAAAATATTGACTTCGTAAGTGATCCTCTAAGGTGGGTAGGAGTGAGCTGACATTGAGCTAGCACAATAGGTCCACTCAGTTAATCTGTAGTCTAATGACAGGATTACACACTGGTTCAGTTCAAAAGTTGTGCATTCTTGAGTGCTTCACTTCCTTTCTCTCTTCTACCTCCAGGTGGAACTGTTGGTGATGAAAGCACTCTCAGTCGGGTTAGTAAAGGGCAGTATTGATGAAGTTGATAAGAGGGTGCACATGACATGGGTCCAACCACGAGTGCTGGATTTACAACAGGTGAGGACTTCCGAATACTAAATCACTAGTAACTCCTTCTCTCTACCTCAGATTAATAGATTTTTTTGTGTCAGCTACCACATCAGTAAGACTAATTTGTATGTATTGGGCATTTGTGCACATGCCTACACTGCAACGCCAGGCGCTTTTAAAAGCACCCAGTGCTGTGGCGCATACATTTGTATAAACGGTGAAATGCACATCAGCACTGAGAAAATGGCGGCAGCACGCTTTTGAACTAAAAACTTTGAAGATGTTTTAATTCAAAAGCACACTGCTGCCATTTTCTCAGCGCTGATGTGCATTTTGCCATGTATACAGATGTATGTAATGTAGTGCTGGGCATGTCAGCTCACATACACAGCAGACTCAATTAATCAAGTCTGCTTTGACACGCCAGAGATACACATGCATTTGTTTGGTGCAATGCGTCGTATAAATGCCCATTGGTCCTGCCAACGTCTTGTGGAGTTTTGACACACAGGAATGTTAACCAAGTGTCCCCTTTCAAAAAGCTTTTAATAAGTTCTTTTTTACTTAACCATCATAAAATAAGGCCTGGTTTTGAGGCACTCCAGCCATAACGTAACTTTACAATGGCCACTGGCAAACCTTCCTAGGAGATGTGGCCCTAGTGATAAAAAAGTGTGTGCAGAGTTCTGCAAATAGGGCCTTCCACACTGCAGGATAATTGTGCCGATCTGTCTATAGGTGTATGTTGTATTAATGTTCTATTTTTAAAAATTAATTAAATGAAACCTCAAGCTTGTTGATTAGTCAGTGTGGTATGGTGCACATCTTGTGGTAACAGACTCTGTGTAAGTGATTGATTTGGAAGAAAGATTGAGTTATATTTTCTCAAGATTAAAGTACCAACATTCAGGGCGCACACAATACTAGAACAAGATGTAGGCAACATTCTGCCTACATCTAGCTAGGAAGGAGGAAGAACTAGAACAGTGCTTCTTAGCTAAGGTGCTGCAAGACTTTTAAGAGTGCAGCAGGCTGCTGCTCAGTATTTGCACTGTGCACAGGATAAACCAGAGCTTTCAAATAGGAATCTATAGTGTTAAAAGCATTCTGACCTGTTGTGGTCTGTCTGAGTTCTTTGCAACAGAAGGGATACTCTTATTTTTTCCATAGTCAAAAATAAAGTGAAAGCTAGGAGCTAGCCTTATCTGAGGGGTGCCTTGAGCCTAAAAAGGCTGAGAAGCATAGGACTAGAAGACCACCCTCTGCCATTCTTTGTTTCCATGAATCCTTTTTCACCCTAATGATTGTAGTTAAAGGGGACTCTTGAGCTTTTCAAAAATGTGTAAGGTGTAAAAACCCCTGATTCGTGGATAAAGCTCCCCTTGTTTTGACTTAAGCTGAACTGCATGTTGGTGTCTTAATGGTACAGTGCCACAATTCAGGAATTGTTTTATTTTACACAGCTTAAAATTACTTTCCCTTAGTTTTTGCTGCTCTTCTAGAAGCTTTCTCAGAAGCCCAGATATTTATAATTTTTAGGGCTTGTCATGCTTAAGATTACCATGTTTGGACTCTTAGTGTCCCATTTTGAGTTTGTTCAGTTTTGCTAATTTCTTTCCCCTCGTGTCTCTCATTAATCAGATTTTTTCACATACTTTCCTCTACTGCCCCCCCTCCTCCCCCCAGCCACGCACGCACCTATACATTAATGCTGTGGAAATTGTAGAAAACTTTTGGTTGCTGAATTCCTGATCCTGTTCTGGATTTGCTTTCCAGATCAAGGGGATGAAGGACCGTCTGGAGTTCTGGTGCACAGATGTGAGGAGTATGGAGCTGCTTGTAGAGCACCAAGCCCATGATATCCTGACGTAGAGGACCTTGCACTGCCTGAGGGAGTACCTTCTGCTGCTGAAGTGGCAGCACCCAGACCACTGACTCTGTACTGAATTATATTAAAAGTTTGGGGGGAGGGTTGGGGAGGAGGGAAAGAACTACTTTTTGATGCTTGTACAGAGAAGCAAGTGGCCTTTGCTGCATAACCCTTTGCTTGGAGTCAGGAATTCCCTGTATGTTAACACACTTAGAACTGACCATGGGAGCTCCCATCCTGCTGTCACCAAATGGGGAAAAGGGCTACATAATGGTTTTAGTGTCAGGTTTTTGTAGCCATTAACTGCCTCCTGCACAAGCTAAATGGGTAGCTGTCATAGCCCTCTAGTGGGGTGGTGAACACTTCTCTACATAAATATTTTTATAGGGAGGTGCTACATACCACTGTCAGGCATTGCAGACATGGTGATTAGCTTCAGTAGAGCATGACTTCCCTGGAAGCCCATCCTCCCAACAGCATTACTGACACCATCTCCCTATTGTCCCTTCAGTTGGTAATGCCCCCTCAGTTGGTAGCAGAGGGAGCTGCTCACTCCATTGAAGGGTTTTCCAGGAATAAAATTGTTAACTTGGTGGATTTGTTTTTATATCCTTTTGGGGGTTGTTCTTGTCTTTTACAAACACTTTATTCTGAAGTGTGGTGCAGCAATATTGCTGGAATAAACTCTACCTTCCCCTTCCTGTAGCTCCACTTGCACTTTTTTATGCTAACTCATGGGATGAGCCATCTGTCTTGTGTAAGGTGGGAAGAGGGCAAAATACTTTTTAAAGCAAGCCTACGACCTTGCACAGAACAGCTGTAGCCTTTATTATAGATCAGCGTGCCTTAAAAATAAACAGAAACAACAGTGAGAGTGCCAAGACCAGTGTTTAAGGCTCTTTGCTGGCAAGCTCTTACCAAGCCAGGGAGCTGCATTCTGAAGCAGCTCAACCTTTACACACAGTAAATTACTACTCAACTTGCAGAAGGGTGATGAATTCAAACACTGAATAATGGAACAGCTCACTTAATCCAGCTTTTAGCCTGTCTCTTAAACAACTACTGTTTAAAAACCTTTCAGTTCAGTTTGATTAAATCATTTTGCTGTGCTATCCCCGTCATAGCACGGGAGGCTTGTGCATCTAGTGACCGGTGGATTCCTTTTGTGCAGCAACAGGGTAACCTTATACCTGGGCCCTGAACACTCTTCCTGTGAAAAAATACAACTGTTTTGCACTTACCCAGCCCCTCCCCCAAAAAGGGAGGTGCTCTTCAATACTGGAAGAATGAGCAATGATCCAAGGGCAGGGAAGCAGGCTCAATAACAAAGAGGGCCACTTCTTGCTTTCTTCTGTGATGATGCAAGGTGATGGTGTTTTATATAGATTGACTCTAGTAGGCCTTCAATGACTGTTGTATAGGTGATACTCTATGGATGCGGGGGCCCTACTATAACCCATCAGTTAGGTAGGTGGTAGCTACTTAAAAGTATGGTAAACGGTCAGATAAAGTTTTACCAGCTATTGTGAACTGAGTATGCTCCGTGCCCTGTGTTCTCTCGCCATCTGTTGTTCCTAGTCTTAGCACAGGCTCATTCTGAAATCTTTACGCTGCTGCTCCCTAGTACTTACACTGGTAGTCTTGCCTTAAGAGTACGTGGGCAATATATTTGCCAAGACGGCTCCTGCCATCACAATCAGATTCCTCAAGGCTTTAGTTCTGCATGTGGTGGCTAAGTCTTTGTTCTCCACACTCTCATGAGAACAGGAGTCCTGTAGGGTTTGCTATAGCTGAAGTGTTTGTTTTTTGTTTTTCCCCTTAGTCCAATGCACTAGGCTAATTGGTCTGAGAAAGCCCAGTGCTAGCAATATAAGAGAAATATACTTTACAACAAAAAATAATACAATGTGACCATTGTTGCAATGAAGATCAGATGTACAGAAGACTGGCTTGATAGCTGTTTTAGACTTGAATGCTCATGTGAAACTAAGTGATCACTGATCATTCAGTGACTAGTTTTTCTTCAGCCACCATTAGTACTTCAGTGAATTTCTTCACAAAGTATTTTTTTCATTTTAGCATGTTTCCTCTTGCTGCCTGAGTCTCCAATGTGTTTAAATTTCTTGTGGGAATGTCTCAATTCTTTCTTGTTTTGGAAAGTGACAAGTTCCTGTGGTGTTTACAAGTGGTAAGATTCATTTTCTCCTACTATTGTGCAATTTGAGAACTTATCCAATTCATGCTTTGCCTCCTTTTCCAGGTTAACATGGTGTATAAAGTGCTCTCATGCCCAAGAAACCCTGACTGCTTACTGCTGCTTGTGATGACTTAATTTGGCAGGGGGTTAACCCTTTTGCCCAGTTTGAGCCCCTTGCCCTGTCCAATCTGCAGCTCTGTTTTCTGCAGCTGTGGTGTCTGTCCTTTTCTGCAGCTGTGGTGTCTGTCCCTTCTCTGATCTGTTCAGCACTGAAGCTGCCCTTGCCACTTTTGTCACTTGTGCTGTAGTTTGGCCACCCTTGACTTAATTCATGCAGAAGGTAGGGTAGATTTGCATCTCTCTGCTCTTTATTCATGCAGGATAGAGTTTAAAACAACAAAAAAGAAACCTAACAATACATTTAAGATTTCAGAGTTGAGGCAGGGAGAGAGGACTTCTTTTTTTTTTTAAAAAAGGTAGAACCTCATTATTTGGTTGCTTTTGGAGTCATTACAAATTTAAAGAGCAACTAGAACACAATCATGCCAGGTTGTTTTACTTGGCCATTTAGGTTTTAATGGCCGTAGTTCACAGTTTAATGCTCTTTGTTGACCTGAAAATTTTAACTTAAGGGGACCTTATGAAAGCTCTTTTATTACAGAGATTGTGAAATTTTGTCTCTCCTGAGCAGGATTCCCCACCTCCTACAGGAGCCATTTTACTGTAGCAAATTAGTGAGGTTCTGCCTAATATAAATTATGTCCAGTTGGTCTTAATTTTATGAACTCTCTTCAGACCATTCTAGAAGGCTCCAAATGTACAAGATGTGTAAAATAGTGGGGATGACAGAAACATCCTGCTTAAAGAACATGAAAAGCACCCTAGTCAGTGTCTTCAATAAGAGGATACTGCTGCTGTCCTCCCTGTAGTGGTACCCAGTGGCTCCCAGTCAGGACCAGGGCCTTTTCTTCTGGGCTTTATACAAGTCAGTCCTTTCCCTAACAAATCCCCAGTTCTACAGAAAAAAAAACAGTCCAGGCCATGGTGTGGGTTTTTTTCATAATGCTTTAATTATAAAAGAGCAGCTTCCTGTGAAAGGATCTGTTCAATAGTCTTCATTCCCATCCTTTGGCTCTGGGCTTGGAAAAGGTTCCTCCTCCCTGTCCTTCACTCATTCTGGTGGGCTTTGTAGTCCTGAATGTGTGCTAGAATCCAGCCTGATGGAATCAGGAAGACCGAGAACATCACAATTAGTCCAATGGCTTGGTCCTACCAAAGGGAGAGAAACCAGAGGGTCAGCAGGGTCTTCAGTGGCCTTCCCTGTGGAATGGAGCTGGACAGTGGTGTGATACTTTCCCACCAGAATTTAGGGTGTAACCTGTAATTAGCTTAAGGAAATGGTTCCTGTTGGCCCAAACTGCCTGCTTGCCTTTTATTCTTAATCACTGTTGACTCAAAGCCATAGCTTTGAAAGTGCAGGGAAAGTAGTAGCAGTCAAATGGTGAGTATAGAAGCCTGTTGCATACATGAGGAGAAACAAGGAAATGTGGGACATTCCAATGGTTATCAGTTGCTTGCATGATTTGACATGTTAATATCTACATTTCTTTCTTTTAGCTGTGTGTTGGTGCATTTTTGTATCGGGGTTTAAGCTGGTAATCAGAGTAATCTTCAATCTATCATCTCACTTTAGTTGGTATCCGTTTTGGGACAATGTGGTTCCTAAGCAGCTGTTTTGAACAATAGGAACTTTCCCAGCTAGAGTGGAGCTGAGAGCTGTTTTAGTTTCCAGCTTGGTTTGTTCATGGACTGCAAAGAATGTCAAGGCTGAGAAACCAACCTTGCATGGGCAGAGATTGCTTCTAGTGCCTCAGCAATGTTGTCTGCCAGAAGACTTATTCTCAGTCTTCCAGAGTTGTGAAATTGGTATCTCTGCTCCTGCCATCCAACCTGCTTTTAAGATTCAGCCAGAAAGCTCAGGACCTGGCAATAACTCATTCCTGAAAGGCACAGTGCAGTCAGGCTGACTTTCAAGTGACCTTGCAGTGCTAAAAGCACTGGCAATGTCTGGAACACGTTTCTGTGTAGTAACAAATGATTTACAGCTTGCATTTATTCTAGGTACAGCTGCAGTCTGATGAGAGCTGTACTGCCACAAGAGCTAAGAAGCATTAATGGTGTAAAAAAACTAAAATTGATGCCTGAGACCTTTGTTAAATATTTTGCTTAGGCCTTGCTCCGGCAAAGCTTCTGTTGGCTTCAGCCAAGACTCCTGAGTCAGGAAGGAGGAACTGAGTATAAATTAAGTTTGGCTTGCCAGGCTTGACATTCTTTGTCTTGAATTTATCTTGTGCACTTGGCAAAGCAGGAGTACAGCAGGGAACTGCCCAAAGATTCCTTTCTTGTAGCAAATGCTTATGCCAATAGGGAAGGTCACACTTTAGAGGCTTAACTAGAATCAAAGTCTGTTTGGAAAGGATCTGTTCATAACTCAAACCAAATTGACAAGCCTTTTAAGTAAAGGGAACAGCAATACAGCCTGTTACGAAAGGCCCCAATTCACTCTACCTTGGGCTCAGGGCTAGAGCTCGCTGTAGAATTGCAGTATGACCCCCTTACTCTGCCATACTCCAAATGAGACCCTGTCTTCACTCTATACTCATCTGAAAACAAAAATAAAATCTTTATTGTTATTGGCACATTGCGGTAGAAGTGACTTTGTTCCTCTGAGCATGGCATTGCAGGCAGAGTAAATCGAGCTGTAGATGACTGATCCTGTTTCCTGGTATGTGTAACAGATAGCAGTGACAATGGAGTCTGCCTTCACTAGTGTTACAGGTTAGTCTTAACGCAGTAAATGCCAAGAATCTTTTCAGCAGTATGAAAAGTAGAGTTTGTTTCTGATCATGCATTTGCATATTTGCATCCTAATCCTGCAGCAAGCTTCATGGAGGCACCTATGCAGAGCCCCCTGCAGGCTTCAGTATCCCATACAGAGCTCACTGTAGCATCAGGGGGTTTTATTTGGGGTCTCTGTGACCTTGACTGTGCAAAACAATTCACAGAGTGGGCAGTTACCTCTATGGGAAGGAGGAGTGTTACTCTCGAAATCAGGCTTAATCTGTAATTCACAGACATGAGAGAAACCCAAGTCACACCGTTCAGATCCAGGTTTCCTTCTCCCCAGTGTGGTGTGGATTTGGGATCTGATTTGGTTTGGCCTATTTTAGACCCAGCCCAGCTTTAAGGTTCACCTCCAAACTTCAGTGGTAATGGGCCAGGGCCAGAAAAAAAGAGGGCCTTTTCTGTCATTTTTCTTTGAACAGAAAAAAGGAAAACACATGGGAAAAAATATTTCTAGGAGTCAAATCAGCCAACCTCTGTCAGATAGTGGTGCACCCCTCTTGATGCTGGTGGACTCACTAAAAGCTGGAATGGGCCTACTATTGAGGAAAACATTGGCAGTTTTTAAGGAAGTTGTTTCTTTCTTTAATTCAACTTAGACATTTTGTTTTTTCTTCATCGTTTCACTTTCGCTCCCAAATGAGTGTATTTGGTTTCAGGTAACTGAAAAATAGGAGGAGTCAGGGCTTCACACCCCAGGAAAGACTTACTAGAATTTCTGTTTCTTAAAATGTGTGTCAGTTTTTAAACTTTGTCCTACCATATTTGAATTTTTCATTTTCATCAACGCCACTATTTTTTTGCTGCCACCCACAGAGTGTGCCTGCCTCTTTAATATGACCCAGGAATGTCCCCAGCTACATTTTTAATTGGTGTATAAGCATAAAATTATAAACTGCCTGACTGACAAGCGCAGGTCACCACTCTTCCCCAAAACAAAAGGTTACTTACAGCTGGAGTGAGTATTTCCTCTGGTGGTTTGGACATATAGTTCCCTCTGGGAACAATCTGATTCCTCATTGTTGCATGGAGCAACCTGAAGGCACGCTGAAACCCCAGCATGGTCAGTCCTCCTTGTCCGCTCCCTTCCAAGCCCAGGCTCTGTACCCTTTGCAGGGAGTGGCTCTAGTTCCAGGCTGCGAGCTGTGAGATTGCAGCTGTTTGTGTCGAAAGCTCCTCCTACCCTCCAACGATGGCGGTTGAAGGTCTGAAAGTTTTTTGCTCTGGTGTCAGATGTCAGAGTGATAAACAAGTTCAGTGCCTTATGCCTGCTAGATTAATTTAGCACTACTTGGCTCTGATTGGCTGGGGAAATTGCTTGGTTACAACCCGTGATCAGAACAAACAGCCACTTATGGTTTCCTAAATTCAGTGCATAGGGGCTTGTGGTTGAAAGTGTCTAAAGCTGCTTCCTTCTGGATTTTCCTGTGTCAGTCAGTTATGCAACACTGTTAGGCTCAAGTAAACTGCTGCTTGTAAAAGTTCATGCATCTCTGGTTCACTTCATCTATAAAGTGCAAATCTGCTGTCCCCTTTCAGCTGTAAGGCAGGGTAAAGGCCATGAGAGGGAACTGATTCAAGTGCAGTGGAGCAGACCTTTTGCAGGTAACCACATAAAGAGCAGAGAGCTATTTTACCTCTACAGAAATAGGGTGGACCTTTTATATGAGTGTCCTATAACTGCCTGGGGTTTCAGAAGGAAGGGGAAATATAGTTGAATGATTGAATTGGGGAGAATAGAGCTCAAGGCATTTTATTTCTATTACTTCCTTCCATTGGTGCTTTGTGACTGGATCACTTAAGCTTTCTGAGATAGTTTCCCTCTTTGTGAAAGGGGGATAAAAATGCCTGCTTTGAAATGATGTTGCAGAGCTCATTCAAAATCCATTCTGTATCTTGAAATTCTCACATGAAAGATGCTGGAAAAGAGCCAGATATTAGTATAGGCTTTTGATGGGAAGAACTGATAGAAAAGTGACTTGATCAAACAGGCCTGTGGGTGGAATGGTTGGTATGGACTACATGAGGCACAGCCTTTTTTGGTGTAAATTACTCTGCTTCAAGGTAAAGCTACTCGAGTGTAAATTACACTGGGTTTGTATACCTACTTCAAGCCACAGAGTAGTCCTTTGCTCAATGCAAACTGGCTCCCCCATCTCCTAGGGCATCTTTACGCGTGTCGGCGGGGGGGTGGTGCTTTAATTAGAGTGGATCCAAGAGCTGCTCTAATTAAAGCACCTGTGGCGTCTTGTGTATTCAGCATCCCATGCTTCAAAATGGCAGCAAGGGCACTTTAACTAAAGCTCGTTTGACAAGCTTTAGTTAAAGCACCTCCACTGACATTTTGAAGCACGGGGGCGCTGAACACACAAGAGGCAGAGGCTGGTGGGGTGCACTAATTAGCATGTTTCAGCAGACTTGATTGATCGAGTCTGCCCTGATGGGCTGTATCTACAGGCACCCCTAGTGACTAGGCGCACCAACTTCAGGCAACCAGTGGGAGAGTTGATAGGCTGTCAGGCCCTTACTATGGAGTAAAATCTGGGGTGGATTAATCTGTAGCAATTGTGTCATTTGTCCTTACAGGCAGCAGGGTCTGCAGACAAACCCCTGTGGAACAAGCACATCACGTTGGGATGTGCCTGAAACATTACTGCTGTGAGCATTTCAGTGGGTACAAGCTGACCAGGCACTTGTTTGAGTCTGTGTTTGGGATGGGAGAGTGGATCCAGGGGAATCAGTGGTCCCTCTGCAGCACCTCTTTAGAGCTTAATGAATCCATTCTCTCCCCTTGCTAGTGCTGCCAGGCACCATAAAGCAGGAGCAGTTGAAGCTGCCCGTCAGGCAGTGGCTAATCCTATTTTCCTTTTGTGGCACAACCGGAAGACAGTCATGTTGCAGCTTCAGAGTGACACCATGATCTCTGAGATGGTACCATGCTACAGTGTGCACTGTAGCAAGCACCAGCTGCTGGGCTCCGGTTCAGCTTCCATTCACGTGGCCAGTGAAGAAGGCTTAGATTTCTGCCAAACTCCAGTTGCGACGACCGGCTGCAAGTAATGGCCAGGGCTTTGGAAACTGGAACCCCCCCCTTCCCTTCACTCCCTGCTGCAGGCCAGCACTCCTTGTTGCAGCTTTCTGTGCTGATGCCAAGGGAGCTGCAGCTCCACCCTTCCTCTCATTCCAGCAGCTGAATGTCCCTCCCCCCTGCCCTGACCTTGCCAGTCGCGCGCTCTCTCTCTTCGTACAGAGGCAGGCGCTTTCAGAACTGGAGTTGAATAAACAATGACTAGTCTGAAATCCAAAGTCCAGGGCTGCCCTGCATGCTCCTGCTAGCTTACTCTGGATTTCCTGTGCCTTTTGCGGTCTCATTTTTAAGTAGGGAGCTTTGCCGTGGTGCAAAGTATTAGCCTGGCAGTTTGGGAGAAGGCTGATGCTTGCAGAAATGGCAGAGGGCTGAGACCATGCCAGTCTAAGTGTCTCTCCAAACTGCTCTGCTAATGTGCCTCGAGTTGACCTGCCTGGCCCATTCTCTGGACTGAGGGGATCATCCTGTTTTTGGCCCTGCTGAATCATCCAGAGCCTGCCATGCCAAGTGGGGGGTGGAGGACAGTGAGGGCCAGCTGTGCTAGATAATGGTGGACATCTGTCCACTAGGAACCAAATTGAGGTCCTTTACTTATTCCTTTTGTCCAAGACAATAACGCACGGTACCTACTATTGGCCATCAGTGATGTGGGTTGGTTTGGGTCAGTAGGCTAAAGCAGTGATTCTCAGCCAGGGTGCTGCACAAGATAAACCCAGAGATTTCAAAAAGGAAATATGGTGTCAAAAATATTCTGACTTGTGAGCTTTATGAGCTCTTTGTAACAGAAGAATTGCTTTTTTTTTTTTTGTAGTAAAAAGGGAAAACTAAGGGCTGGCATTTTGTGAGGGGTGCCTCAACTCTAAAAAGATTGAGAACCACTAGCCTGGAGGTTTCCCTCAGTTTTCCTGAATGCTCACAATCAGCTGGAGCAGGAGTACTCCTCCTCAGCCCAGGAGTGTAGGAGGGCTATTACGAAGGCCAAGGCAGAGATGGAACTCAGGCTAGCGTCCAGGATTAAGGACAACAAAAAGTCCTTTTTCAAGTACATTGGGAGCAAGAAGAGGGCACCAGGCAATGTAGGGCCCCTGCAAGACACAAATGGTAATCTGGTGGCCACACCAGATGAGAGAGCTGATATTTTTAACAGTTTCTTTGCCTCTGTTTTCCTGAACAGGGACCGGGATATCTCACCTACCAGAGGTAGGGACAATCTTGGGGATAGCTCTATCAAGCCTTCAGTCAGTGCAGATGTAGTTAGGGATCTTCTGAAAGGGCTAGACATGTTTAAATCTGCAGGTCCAGATGCCCTCCACCCAAGGGTGTTGAGGGAGCTGGCAGGGGTCATCGCAGAACCC